TCTCTTCCTACATCCTTCTCTATTCCTGTCACAGCAGGCTCTGGCTGGTCTCCAAACCTACCAGCTATGATACTGCCTCAGGGCCTTTGCACTTGCTGGTTTCCTGGCCTGCAATACCAACCTCCCTTATGTCTTCCTGGCTCCCACTCTCCTAGCCTTTAGGAGTCTGCTTAAATGGTTGACCCTAGATCCCTGCAGTAAAACAGCTCCACCCCTCCCAAGCTGTCCCCTTACAATGCATGTCCTCTTCTACCCATCCAAGAGAACAGCAAGCCAGAAGTAAGTGCTCTGCCTACTGACTCAGGAAGGCCCTGTGGTCCTCGATGCTGCATGCTGACCCCACATGGAGGGCAGTGTCCCTAACACTGGTATTCAGCTCTTAAGTGACTAGGGAGTCTTTGGCTGTCACAGCCTGACTGCTTGTCTGTCTCCCCAGAAGACAGTGGGGCCACACTCCTCTAGTGTTCCAGAGTGCGTCATGTGTTCAGATAAATACATAAGTGAAGAACAGTGAGTTCAAACCCAACCCCTGAAGCCTTTCCTGTCTCTTTTCAGAGCCCCAAACCCCCAAAGCCAGAGGGTCAGGGTTGGGTCTGGAAGCTGAGCTGGAAGGATCCAGGAGTCCGTTTTGGAATTAAAGTTTGGATTGGGGAGGTGGTTTTTGCTGTTGTTGTTGTTTGGTTTGGGCTTTTGTTTGATTGATTGGTTTTTGTTCTCTCTCTCTGTTTCTTTTTCTTTCTTTCTTTCTTTCTTTCTTTCTTTCTTTCTTTCTTTCTTTCTTTCTTTCTTTCTTTCTTTCTTTTTTGGCTATAGATTGAACCCAGGGCAGGCCCTCGACCATTGAGCGACATCCCAGTCCTCTGGATTGGGATCTCTGTTTAAGTTACTAAAAAAAAAAAAAAAAAAAAGTTTCTGTTAGGGAAATCTGCGGACTGGGATCTGGGGTTGAACTCAGAGTGGGGAGCAGGTGGCAGGAATTTGAGGTCAGAGTTCACAGTTTCTGGCCGGGCTGAGTGTTCAAGGGCAACAAAGGCATGCTTAGCATCAGCTGGTTGGGAGACTTTGTCAGGAACAGGAACTCTGGTGGGAAGGGGGACAAAGGGCTCGACTGGAGGACATGGACTGGGATTACAAAGCCTCTCTGCAGGACACTGGGACAGGGCTCACGTTTTACAGCCACGTGCTGGCACAGAGGACGTCTGCCAGGGTGAGTTGGCCACCTTGGTGATACTTGTCTGGACACTTCTTGCTTGTAGGGAGGGAGGACACTGTTGTCAGAGTGGGTGGCCCTAATCAACCCACAGTGGCCTACTCCAGTGTCAAGGAAAAGCCGAGAATTCCCGTATTCTCCAAAGGTTAGTCAAGGGCTCATCTAATGGGCCCAGGGCTATGGCATGAGGGTCTTGGAGGCCATCTGTCCTTGGACCCCTGTGGATTCATCTCCCCTCCATTATCCCTGGCCCTGGCAGAACATGGGGCTCTGAGGAGAGAGCCAGTCCTGGGAGCTGAGACTGAAGCCAAGCAGGGGAGGGATGCTGAGAGAAAGAGGGGGACCCCCAGTCTGGGTAGGGCCCAAGAGGCTGTGGGGTGAGGACCTGCAGGGTGCCAGGGAGATGTCAGAGGTAGCCTCTGCCCTCTGGCAGGTGTAGTTCAAGAGGCCCATATTCTCACAACCACAGCTGCCTGTATCCACACAGCTCCAGCCCGGTCCAGCCTCACAACTCCTCGTTTCTTCTTTTCTTTGTGTTGAGACAGGGTCTCATGGAGCCCGGGTGAGACAGGGTCTCATGGAGCCCGGGTGAGACAGGGTCTCATGGAGCCCGGGTGAGACAGGGTCTCATGGAGCCCGGACTGGTCATGAACTCACTATGTCTTGGAGGATGACCTTGAACGTCTGATCCTCCTGCCTCTACCTCCCAAATGCTGGGATCAGATGCCTGTCATCGGGCCCAAGAGGAGGGCACTATTATCATCACTGAGAAGCCACAGAGGTTCAAAGAGCGTGGGAAAGTCACCAAGGTTCCCTCAAGTCTGAGTGGCAGGGTAGCCCTGAGCTGGCTAGGGTTTCAGGTCAGGCACTCACAGTCAGGGTCCCCTGCCTTCCCCTCCATGTGCACGCATGATCTCAGCCAACCTCTCAAACCGTCTGCTGGATAGGTGCGATGATTACCATCCTTGATGAAACAGCCACATCCCAGAGAGGTCAAGTGTCTCTCCACACCTCCAGGTCTGCCCAACATCAAGGCCACTTGTGCTTCTCTGCGTGACAGCTGGGGTGCACGTCTGTACAGCTACCGGTGCCCACTCTCACAGCTGCATCTGATTGTCACAAACAGGCAAAGATTTCCGTTTCTCCACTTCAGCCCCAGGACTAGTTGAACCAGGTCATTTCTTATTAATTCCATTTATTTATGTGTGTGTGTGTTCATGCACACATGTGAACTGGGTCATTTCTTATTAATTCCATTTATCTATCTATCTATCTATCTATCTATCTATCTATCTATCTATCTATCTATGTGTGTGGTGTGTTCATGCACACATGTGTCCTGTTAGTCCTTGAGGATGGATGTCTGTAAGTCTACCTGATCCTTACATCCTGGGGACCACCTGGTGCCTGGCTCAGAGCAGGTAGGAAGTCAGTAACTATTGAGTAAGAGTGAATGGTTGAGGATAGAAGAGTAGCAAGGCCCTTGGCTGGCAGTGCCACTCTCAAGACTCCGGGGAGGGAAGCCAGCTTCTTGCTGTCCCCTAGTTTTGCATTTTGAGGACCGCCCCACCCCCAGTCCTAGCCAGTGCCCGCCACCCCAGCCACCCACACAGTCTGCAGACTCAGAGAGCACCTTGGACACAGACCAGACATTTTTTTTTTTTAATGCTTTTATCCTCTGTGAAGCATCCACAGGGAGCTGTCTGTCGGCCCTGCCTTCCTGCATGCTCCCAGACACTTCTCATTCTTCAGTCCACCCCACAACCTTCTGCGCACCCGTGTTCACCACATGTGCACTCTGAACGTCCATTTCCTCCCCCACGCCAGCTCCTTGAGGGACCCCTGCCTCTCACTCAGCCAGGCACCTTCCTCCAGGAAGTCCGGACTAGGGACCCCAGGTCTCAGCTCCTGCTTTGGTGATGCAGGGAGGAGAGAGATGACTTAACACTCTTTCAGATCTATTCGTTATCTTCTGAAGTTAGAAACACACTTGTATGAACAGCTCTGCAGGCCTCAGTCTATTTACCTGGAAAGTGGGAAGAAAGGTGGGAAGACACACGCAAAATCAGGGGCGGCTCTGGACCTGATGTCTGCCCTTCCCAATACAACACTTCCAACGCGCGCCAAAACTCAAGGCTGCTCCCCCATGCGCCTCTTTCCTGAGTGGCCCTGGCTATGTCCCTTTCCTCCCTTGGACCTTGAGTTGCAAAAAGAGAAGGGCACTCCATCTTCAAGTTCTAGTTCAGTTTGGGGCTGGCGGGGGCGAGGGTCCTGAGCCCTGACGATTCTACGCTGTAGCGGGGAAGCCAAGCTTCCTCCAGCCCCAAGACCGGAGCCTCACAGAGGAGCTTGGAAGGGACGGGACTTCCGGGTGGGGAGGAGGGTGTGGAGGGAGGAGCTGTCCTAGCCTGAGTGTGAGAGACGAGTTAACAGCTCAATTGTTATTTCAATTACACGGATTATTTGAAAACAATGTTATGAGTTTCATCACTGACAACCCCGGGAAATGGCTGCTATGGCAACCGGGAAAAAGAATGGCGCTGGCCAACCAATCCAAAGTTCTGTCTGCAGTCCCCGTTTGTTCAAACTCTCCTCTGTGGCCCCTCCCACCCTCCACTTGGGGGAAAAGCTTGAAAAACAGGAAGGAAAGGGCAAATGGAAGGACTCTGCCGAAGGGGAAACTGAGGCGGTGAGAAGGGAGAATAAGATCACCTCTGGGGAGATTTGGGAGGTGCTCAGTAGGTAAGAATACTTGCCACGCAAGCACAACGACCTGAGTTTGAATCTGAAGCTCCCCGTAAAAAGCCAGGCATGGCTACCAGGTCCTGGGACCCAGCACTGGGGGAGGAAGGGTAGAGACAGTGTCTCCCAAAGGCTCTGCTGACCAGGCAGCTAGCCCAGTCAGAGTTGCTGGTTCAATGGCAGACCCTTGTCTCAAGGAAGTAAAGAGGAGATCAATAGAACACATCCAGTGTCTGACTTGGCCTCCACATCTGCACACAAGGGTGCACACATCTGCACACTCACATGATTGCAAAACACACATACACACACTGGCACACTGGAGTCCCCCTGGGCAAAGACATTGGCCCACTGTACAGCAGGGAGAACAGGGCTCTCAGCACCCTTTGATTGACAGGGGAGCTGCCAGGACCCCTCTCCTAACCCTGCTCACTGCCCGGTGAGTTCCCTGAGGCCCCCTTCTCTCAGGACACACAGGCCGCCACCCTGGAGCTCCCTCTTGCTTCTGTCTCAGGGCCAGCTGTGCAGGCACCTTCTCCAGCCCAGCCTTTCCCAGATGGACGCACGTAGGCTCCCAAAAAGAGCCCTTGACTTAGAGACTACCCTTGCTTCCCCATCAGAAGTGCCCATGTGATGTCTGCTCCGCTGAAACCTGCTGCCTCACCGGAGCTCTGTGCTCCTACCCTCTACTCAGTGGATCCGACCCCCCGCCATTTTATCAGCGAACCCATAGAGAGGCACCGGGAACCATGCTAAGCACTGTACAAATATCAACACCCCCCCCCAACTTGGTGATCAGAGACTGGTTATCAAGTCCTCTTACAGATGGAGAAACTGAGGCAGCCATATGACTTGTGCAGATCCTGGCACTCAGGAGGACCAGGCTACTCCAGAACTCCTGCTCTTGGCCGTTCTAATTCCTCCAGACAGAAAACAGGCCTGGTGTGGGCGGGTCTGATGGCGGGATGACTTATGAGACAGAACCTACCGGCTTCACCTTCCTCTCTCAGGACACCTCCCACTAGCTCTTGCCTTGAAACTCACACACCTCTCTCCACAGTGGCTCAGCAGGGGAGACCTGGACAGACATGAACACAGCAGGCCTCCGCGGGGGAGCTGTGATGTTTCAGAGATAACTGCTGCCAGGAGCTCTGCTCTTCTGGAAGGCTGGAAGGCTTGCAGTGGCATCCTCATTAAGGTGGCGCCCAGTGCCCGTGTGAGAGATGAACGCCATGTACTCATCACCTCGTTCACCTGTGGGAACGCCAGCAACGCCGTCGTAAAGACGAGGAAACTGAGGCCCGGGGAGTCGAAGAGATTTGCCCAGTGTCAGCCAGTCCACATGTTGCCTGTCAAGAGAGATGATCCGGGTACCACCAGGACACGAAGGATAGAAAGGACACTCCCATGGAGTAGCTGGAGGGGTTCAGTAGACGGAAGGCAACCTTGGTGCTATGCTAGCTGGGGCAAGTGTGTCTGGCTCAGCAGGTGAAGAACTATGTCAGGAGACAAAATGGGGCCTTGAGTGTCAAGCGAAGGGTCTAGAGCTTCAGATAGTCATCACTCCTATCCTTCCGCCCTTCCTCCCGTTCTCTCTCCCGTGCTCCCTCTCTCCCGTGCTCCCCCTCCCTCTCCACTCCCTGTCCTCCCTTCCTCCCAAGCTCCCTCCATCAATGGCCTCCCTCCTGTGCAGTAGAGCAATTTCCCCAAACATTTTCTCTAATTTGTGACTGTTTTCCTAACCCCGAAACAGCAAGTCCAGGATTCTCCAGCCTGTGAGCCAAGCCCAGTGGAGCTGCCAGCCCGGCTGGTACCTGCCATCAACCCAGTCTGCTTTCTAGCCTGCAAGTTCCTGTTCCTAAAGCCATGAGGCAGTGGGCAGGTGGTGCAAGGGACTCATGGGCCCAGGTCCAGGGCTTTTTTCCCAAGGCCTGCAGAGTGGATGCAGAGACCCTGGAGTGGTGGTGGAGCTGGCACCTCCACCGGCTGGCTGTCACACATCGAGGACATCAAGTACTACCATTTATGGAGGGAGAGTGCCACCAGGCTCCAGAAGGGGCCAGGGCTGAGCTCAGGGATGAGTCTGTGGAGAGAATGGGCTATGAGAATTTACAAGGGGTGTGTGTGTCTGTGTGTGTGTGTGTGTGTGTGTGTGTGTGTGTGTGTGTGTGTGTGCAGGAATTCCCTCTTGGGAACTTGGGCTCACAGCAGGAAGGGAACATCAGAAGCTAAGCAAAGTAGCCAGGTGCTTATTAGGGCAAGAGGGCTAACACCATGATCCAGGGCCCATGGTAACAGGGGCTCAGGGACAGAATCTGGGGCTCGGTAGGGGCTGGCACACTTGTGAAGTACAGCCTAGATTCTGCTCTGGACAGTGAGAGGCCTATGTCCGAAAGACAGCTTTCTCCAGGAACCAGTGGGAGCTCTGCCAGAGACTCAGTTGGAGGCTGAGGTTTGTGAGAACAGGACTTATGAGGGGACAGGAAAGGACACAGGCTCTGCAGGATGGAGGTGAGGCCTCTCACAAATGAGGGATGCCTTGGGGACAAATGTTGGCTGTGGAGGCTTGGGGCTGAGGGAAGCCCTTGTTCTGGGGTTCTTCTGAGAGTCATTGCACCCTGCTGCTCCTGTCCTGATACTAGGTACCCCACTTCCACCCACCCTCACTTCACCACAGACTTATCTTCTTGCTCTACAGGCACCCCCATCCTGCAACTCCATCACCCCCACACACCTTTCTCCGAGGTCACCTCCAGAGTGCTCCACTGCCCCACCCCCCCTAAACATCCCAGTCTGTTCTCCTCTTTGCTCAACCACTCCTACAGTTTTGAGGACCCCCTTACAGCCAAACACAGGCAGACAGTGTGGTGATCAATGTGGCAGTCCTCCTTCTAGCTAGCCTGATTCCCTCCAGCTTCAAATGCAGCCAGTTTCCTGTGCCCTGTCCTGGGAACCGTTCCTCATTTCTCAACCAGCTGAGCCCAGTAAGCCTCTTCATCCAGACGCCATTATGAAGCGCCTACTCTGTGCCTATAATTGGGGCTAATAGAGCCCCAATGGGAGGAGCTATCAGATGTGGGATGAGATAGATACCAGCTACGGCATCGAGGAGACACTGCCAGCTTAGGCAGATGTGTGTGTACGAGTGTGCGTGTGTCTACACACACTCACAGACTCCAAGGAAAACAAACAGCAAATTTGTGTAGTATTAGCAGCTAACACTTTGGGAACACAGCTCACCTCTGGGCCACAGTCCACAGAGCCCTTCACAGCAATGAGGACATGAAATCCTCCAGGTTAAGGGGTCCGCTGTCTTTCACTGTCTTTTCTAATCTCTGTCTTTATCGACAGGCATCTCCAAGCGCTTGTGTCAAGATTTCACCCAAGCCGGGCACATAGTAGGCTTATAAGAAATGCATCGTGAATGGATGGGTAAGTCGGTGTATTCACTGATGGGAGGCAGCAGACCGTGAGAAGATGTAAAGCAAGGCAGAGGGATGTGGGTGGGTGGATGGTGAGCGTGGGTGCACAGTGGTTGGGTGGGTGGACGGTGAGCGTGGGTGCACAGCAGTGGGTGGGTGGACGGTGAGCGTGGGTGCACAGTGACTGGGTGGGTGGATGGTGAGCGTGGGTGCACAGTGAGTGGGTGGACAGCAGTGGGTGGGCAGCAGTGGGTTAGCTGGGCAGAGGCAGCAGGTGGGCAATGGGCAGCTCAGCATTTGAATGGAGGTGGGTGGGTGGGTGATGGGTTGGAAAATGACCAAAGGATGGATGGCATTAGGTGGGGTGCTGGGTGGCTGAAAAATGTCAGCAAAATCTCAGTTTTCCTGAGAGCCTCTCAAGCATAGACTCTTCTGATTTGATTAATGAGCCCTAATTCTCTTACACACACACACACACACACACACACACACACACACACACACACACACACACACACACGATACCCAGGCTTGCCATGTTGTTCGTTTTCTCTCCTTTCTCTACAGCATCTCCTGTAGCCAAGCTGTTCCGGGTCCCGGTGACCACCTGGAGCTTTTCCCTGGGTCCCTTGCTCCTCACCTCATTCAATCCTCCCTCTCTGTCTTCTGGGTGATTCTGGTGCCCTGTTCTCTGTGTCCTCTTTCCTTTAAGTTCCTCCCAAAATCCAGCCGGCCCCCTGCCGTACCTCCCCATCACCGCATTCCTCAGTCTGGAGCACCACAGCTGAGGAACCTTCCCTCCAACTCCTCACTCGCTCTCTCCTCTCCTTTATGTCCTCTGTGCTCTGGCCAGCTTGACCACTAGCTCGCAACCAGACATCGCCAAGCCACTTCACTTAGCTCTCCCTCCTGAAAGCCTCTCCAACCACAGCAGTACCAGGACTCAATACACAGCTCCAGGGCTGTCCCCCATGATCAGTGTCCAGTGAGCCACTTGTTGAGATGTGCTTATGACACATCTACTGTGTAGTGTGTGTGTGTGTGTGTGTGTGTGTGTGTGTGTGTGTGTGTGTAAAACAGGTGCAAGTAGTACAGTATCAGTGTTCAAGGCTTCTAGAACCTTCCCCCTGGGCGAATGCTCCAGTCCTCCCCACAAATCTCAGAGGTCAGGTCAGAAGCCCAAAGGCTAGTGACATGTCTCAGGTCCCTAGGCTGGTAATTGGCAGTCTGGCTCCCGTGCCCTCAACAGGACCTTGTGATTGATGACACAGTGTCCTGGGAGTGGACAGGCTCTTCCCCCCCCACCCCCGTCCCCTTTGGCCATGCAGTGGCAGCCCCTCTGCCCACTCTCTTTGTTTATTTTTTGCTCTGAGACAAGGTTTCACCATGTAGTCCAGGCTGGCTTTGAACTCACTATGTAGCCAAGGATGACCTTGAACTTCTGATCCTCCTGCCTCTACCTCTGGAGTGCTGGAATTACAGGTGTACACTACCATCTCGAATTTTATCTGGAGCTAGGGATCAAATCCAGGGATTCACACATGCCGGGCACTCTGCCGACTGAGTCACATCCCTTGTTCCACCTTGTTACCCTCAAGCTCGTTCGGAAGAGGGGCCTGTGAATAAACAGACTTGACACCAGACCAAAGAGGGCACTGCAGCCCCCTTTTTCTGGGGTAAGTCCCCATCTACACAGTGAGTTGCTGATCGCTCCCTAAGGTCTTTCCACTCCAAATGCATAAACCCACACACAGCTGCTTATGTGGCCCAGGCTACATCTCCCCATTCTTGAATCTCTAATGTACATCAGTTCATGATCTCTGCAGGCCCCACCCTGAAGCCACAGTCCTCTCTCTGGACACCCGAATCTGCTCAGCTTGTCACCTGTCCATCATCTTGTCTGCCTGCTGACCTGGATCCACCTGCCTCTGCTACCTATCCATCAGCCTGCCTCAGCCTGTCCACCTCATGTCCCCGTCTGCCTGGTGTCTGCCACTCTGCCCATCAAACACACAGCCTACCTCCCAACCCTGGTCCCCCATTCTCAGTGACAACAAAGGAGAAGTGTGGCCTTTGCGGTCACCACTCACTGAGCTGGCCACGTCTTAAAATCACAACCTGCCTTTCCAGAGTCCCAGTGGTTCCCCAGTACCTGGCACCCTCCTCATTCCCCAGAGGCCTCCAGCCTTGCTGGGTCTAAAGGCTTCTACTTAAGGAATCAGGTCAGTGCCATGTACCTCCTGCCAAAAATGTCCAAGCAGTCTCCAAGGAAATCACTGGACACGAGCGTGAAGATGTGTGTACAAGGATGCTCACAGCAGAATTGTTTGTAATAGCGCAAGGTTGGGAGCAACCCAAGTGTCCAACCGCGGGGGCTGGTCGAGTGAATTATGGACAGCCACACAATGGCAGGCTGGGCAGCTATTAAAAAATGGTGATGTGGATGTCTATTCATTGAAATGGCAAGACGCTCACAGTACACTACCCAGCAACAAGGCAGGCTACAGAGGCACATGTGCAAAGCACGATGCCGTTTTTATTTTGATTTTCAATCTATGTCAACAAGAACACGCATCAAAATGGTGACCAAGGGGTAGTGGGATCATGGCTAATTAAAAATGTTTTCATGGCTAAAAAGACACACAGCTGCATTTGTGTACACTTACACCCACATGAATAAACTCTTCCCAGGAGCTAAGCCACATGCTCTGCCCTGTGTCTATACCTCCTCCATCCTCGCAGGAGGCAGGTTAACTGAAGGGATTTCCTGGATGAGGAAACAGAGGGTCCTACAGATGAGCGGTGGTGGGCCTTAGCTGTAAACTCAGCTCTCCTGGGCTCCAGAGTCAGTGTTCTTAGTCAGCAAGTTATTGTGTTTCTCATTTTGTTTACCTGCAACTCGTGTATTTGGAAAAAAAAAAAAAAAA